GCGATGTTGTGTACGAAGTGGTTCTCTATGCGGTGACTTTTTCCCATTTTGAGGACAAATGTCAGATTTAGCGTCATAATTTCCATTTTTCAAGATAGCTTTCGAAATTGCTATAATTGTAGGGTGTTTGAACCTTGACATAATGGACCCAAAAAACTTTCCTGCTCTATTGTTGAACAAAGTTGACGAAGAACGAAAATAAAACCAGCAACAAGAAATCGTCAAAACGGAAGGTCTGAACACGATTGTTAATTGCCGTCTTCAAACGATATTTATTGTCATCGAATTAAGTGCTTGAATGCTTTATGACAAGTATTTTGTAGGAGTAAACAAACTTTAATTCAAGTTTAAATCAAGCAGACAAAACTTGAAAAAAAAAAAGAACTAAATAATACAATTATAAAAATTGGTTTAATTTTCAATTTTGGATATTGATGAATGAATTTGATGTTCGTGATATCTTTTCAATCATAAAAATCACTCATATATATAAAATTATAATCACCATGCACGAAAAGGTGTAAAAATCAAACCAAAAAGAGTGTGAAACACTTTAAAATGACACCAAATTTTAAACAACCAAAGATCAAATTTTTGTGGCTCCCAGCTCAATTCAACAAATGACCACTGTAATTGCAATACAAGCCACCCCGCCTTAAGTCTGGGCGGTAGCCCAGGCCATTTTTCTTCCTTCATTGTTTTTTGTTTTCGTTTTATTTTTGCTTGTTTTTCTCATGGCTAATCACTTCTATCATTTTCAAAATCACTCCTCATTAATTTTTGAACAATATTCCTATTGGTTATTATTATCCAAAGACCACAAACGATATAAATCAAATCAAACACACAGTGCGAAAAATAAAGAACTTAGCAAAATGTTCACCCAGTCCGATCGAAATGGTTAAATCTAGGGGCTTAGGATCAGGCCAATCATTATGTGCAAACCAGCTCCCAAGGGAGCAAAATACAGAGAACCACTTAGAGAATCAGTTTGTTCATCGATCCACAAAGAATCCCCAAACTGGACACAACTTTTTTCTCTCAAACAATAAAAAACAACCTACACCAAATAGCCAATATCTTAGGCCTATCAATTACTGTAGCAAGAGTAGTTTACGAGAATTTCTCTATGATTAAACACTCTGGACAAATTCTAGATTCAAACCAAAAAGAAAGAAGAAGAAAACTCAGAGAGAGAGAGCGAGAGAAAGAGAGAGAGAACCAGAGAGTTTAAGAGCCAAAAAACCAAAAGACTACCCACCGAATTCTCTAGACACTCAAGACTCGTATTAAGTCTTGTAAGATCTCCATCGTCCATCAAATCCAAAGGCTCACGAGTGGGCTAAAGAAACACAGATCCAAGTATTGATGCTTAAATCAATCATAGGTTGCCACCTCAGACATCTCAACTAGTTGCCTAAACAATTACAAGAATAACTCGATTTAAGTTGCATTTTAGGGAAACACGTTTTTCTTTCAATTCAAACATCCATATCATAGAGGTCCAATATATTCAAACTTGGAAATGGTCTCCTAACATCAAGTTTGTTACCCGCTTTTGTCGCTTCATGAACTGGAGAATGACCATCTGACCCCATATTTGCAAAATAAGGGCATTATATAGTAGTTATTCATTTTTTTTTTTTTTATTTTTATACTTTTTGTTTGAGAGACAAAAGATGGGGAGAGAAAAAGACCTGCTAGTGGGCTATCAGTGGATTGAATTTTTATCTGAATTCAGTAAAATTAATGGGAGATTGATTTAGAGAGGTATATTCATTTGAGATGTTTAAAGACTTTCAAGGATTTAGAATGTTTATGTGTATTAAATTGAGATTTTTAAGGGTTCTCTAAAAGTTTAGATATATTAAATTGGGACTTCTATAGAATTTTAAAAAGTCTCTAAAAGTCAAAAGGTATTCAATTTAAAGTTTAGTCTTTATAAGTCATAAATGTTTGTACAGACGGTGACTTTTGGAGAATTTTCTACTTACTGGATTTTTGGAGACTTTTTGGTAAAAAATATAGATAACAAAGCTAAAAAAAAATAAAAATCTCTCATATACTCTGTGATTTGTGAAGATTTCAGAGCTAAAAAAGTACATCTTTTTCCCTTCAATTCTATGATTTTCTCATATCAATACAGTTCATTTGCTGTAATCAATTTATGATTATTCTATATGTAAATTATTATTTATGAATTGAAATATACTCAATTATTTCAAAACATAAAAATTTTATGTAATCGCTCTAATCCTTTTTTTTTTAAGAACAATTTGTGTTCTTAAAATGTATGTTAATTTTTTGAAATTTTTTTGGTTATGTTCTTAAAAATTGATGTAAATTTTTTCTACCATTTTATTTGTGCCCAAATTATGAATGATTAGGTTTGTGACTAGTGACTTTACCAAATAAAATTTAGTGAGCATTATGGATCTCGAAAATGTTAACTAGGTAGGAAGATATATTATAATTTTTCAAGTACATAACGAATTTGTAAGGCGAAAAGTCTTTAATCGAAGTCTATAAAAGCCAATGAAAAACTTTTATTAATTAATAACGAATCCAAAAAAGGCACGTAAAAGTCCATAAAATTTGCAAAACTCACTCACTTAAAAAAGTCTATAGAAGCCTGTAAAAGTCCTAATTGAATACACCTCCTTAAAGTCTCAGTCTAATAACCCAATCAAAATACCAATTTGATAATTTGTTACTAAATGAAGCAAATATGGATATGTGTCAATCTATTTTGATAAAAACCCTATCCGATTGTTTAAATAATATAATATTTTTAAATATTATTAAATATAATTTTTTTCATTTTGCAAATTATATTATATTTTACACATAAATTTTCAAATGGTAAATAATATTAGATAATATTGTAATATTGTCAATTTAATTACTTTGAATGTTTTTATTTTTTTCTTAGTTAAAAGAAAATTAGAAAATATTAATTTATTTTATAAATAAAACAACCAAAGGGGCGAATGGTTGGAGTTGATTTCATTGTTCCCAACTGCACACTTCCCACATCGAATACTCACAATAATATCACAGGATTTATAATATATAAATAGGTGGGTTAATAATTGGGTAAAAAGTTGTCTGCATCTTTTAATTTTAGGATTTAGAAGTTGACTGATATAAAATTTTTATTTTCCTAATGTAGGTAATTTTGGATCGGATATCCTATAACGTAGCAAATCGAACATAGATTTAACAATCAAATATTCATTGTATTATCTGATCGAATTGAATATGGGTATATGTAATCTATATTCGATCCATACATAGCCCTACCCAACAGGGTAGAGGCGACGATGGTACTATGAATTAAATGTTTCATTAGTCACTCAACTTATTACTCTGTTGCGTTGTACTCACTATATTTTAAAATGTATTAAAGTGATCACTGAACTTAAAAATATTTTTAAGTGGTCTTCGAACATCAACACGTTGCATTTCATTACTTGTCTATCGTGTTTTGTTATTCATTAAACTTATATCTTTTTTACGCTTTATTCACTGAATTTTAAAATACTTCCAAGTGATCATTGGATTTCATAATATTTTAGAGTAAAGTTAATTTTCTATGAAATCTGATCTTGATAAAAAAAATGACATAAAATAAATATCAAATAGATAATGAGGCTCTTAATTTAAGATCAAAATTATTGATATTTGTAAGAACTATATAATTTTTCTAGTGGTCAAAAACTATATTCAAATTGACATAAATATTAATTTAAATTATAAACATCATTTAAGTTGAGAAAATAAAAATAGAGAAATTATTTCTCTATTTCTATTGAGATCATCAACCCAAATCAAGAAAAAAAAATTGTATCTCAAACATGCAGTGAATTTTTCGATTTATTGTTAAATTCAATGACTAATGGAATATTATGCATGAGCAAGTGATGAAATGTAGTATGTTAAATTTCAATTACTGCTCGAAAGCATTTTAACAATTCAGTGACTAATGAAAACATATTAAATGAGTGATAGGGTGCAATGCATTGAAGTTCAATAACTATTCGAAGGCATTTTAAAGTTTAGTGGGTAAAATATGATGAGTATGTAAATTTAGCGACTAGTGACCGATGGGGGTGAGGGATAAGTTTGAAGACAAGACATTTTCCTCTCTTCTTTTAAGTTTTTACCTCTTTTTTTTTCCTTTTTTATTGTTTTTAATTTTTTTTGAACTAATTCAAGTATTTTAATTAATTGAATATGAAGAGATAATTTTGCCCTTCTTAAAAAGGGTTAACTAATATTTTTTTGGTCAACTGATATATTTTTGGATGAAAATCATTTAGAGGTCATTTCCCTTCATATTTATTAAGAGATTTATAATGTAGATGCTAAGATTATAACGTTTGATACTTTATTGTACATTTTTAAAGTGTTTGAAACCTCTTTCACAAATTTCACATTAAAATATGATGCAATAGATAGAAATGCATTTTTACTAGCTTATTGAACATAATAAATTATCATTATTTACTCATTTGTTCAAATTGTTATCCATCCATTTTTGAGGTGAAATTTGTTACCTCCACTGAACAAAAATTGCCGAGTGTTCAACGTAAACGAGACGTGGCTCCATCTTGACGACGTTAAATTATTAAGCTATTAAATGAATGTTCATTGAGACTTAGTTTGTTTATCTTTGTTTCAATTTTTTTTTTCAAACTCATTTTCAAGTATATATTTTCAGAATAAAATATTTTACCTCAAAATCTTTTCATACTATTTCAAAATTCATTTTCCTACTTTAATTATAAACAAACAAGGGCTAAAATTATCCTTTTAAGTTACTACTAGTTGCTCAAGTTACACATTGCTTTAATTATCCATTCAAGCCGTTGTACATCCTTAAAAACCTGTTCGAGCATTATTTCTTAGGATTATTCTTGGGTACATTGGAGGACATAAGGGTGTCACAGGGGCGCTGGTGTACATTTTGGACACGTGATATGTCCAAACAATAAACCTATACGCCAAGCAGGTTGTTGCTTAAATACCCTTTCTCCGCGCAAACTTTTTATCCAAAATCTACTTCAAGTAAGCTCTATCTTGGGTCGGGAGGGAATTGAAACCCCAATCAATTAGGGTTTTTTGCAGCTGTAATTTACAAGGAAGATGATCGAGGTGGTGCTGAACGACAGGCTTGGGAAGAAGGTCAGAGTGAAGTGCAACGAGGATGATACAATCGGCGATCTGAAGAAGCTGGTCGCGGCTCAGACTGGAACCCGGGCCGACAAGATCCGAATCCAGAAGTGGTACAATATCTACAAGGACCACATCACTCTCAAGGATTATGAGATCCATGACGGCATGGGCCTTGAGCTCTACTACAACTAAACCTTAGTAATTTCACCCTCTTAACCCTCCTTTATGTGTTTATACGTATGGGTACTCTCGTGTGTGGATTGGTCGTAATTGAAGTTTCATAGTGTTCTATGGATTTTCATATGTTGTAGTAAGTAAATTTTTGGGTGATTGTTTTGGATTTTTCGATTGTGTGTTTATTTCTCTGGAATTGTCGAATTAGTATGTGCTGTGGAATTTGGAATTAGGGCAAGGGAGAATTTGAATAATACTGTACTTTAATGGAAGTGGAAATAAAGATTGTTTTTCTTGTAGATATCTGATTGTAGGATAATCGCAAATTCAAAACATCAAAATTTTCGAGCTGAAGGCTAGATTAAAACAATGAAGGATTAAGAACATAAAAAGTGGTAATTGATTTTGGGGTCATGGATTGGTGAAAAGTTCAGGTTATGCAATTAACTTAACGAATACAAAAAAGTGCTTCAGAAAAAATGATTTTCGAAGGTACCTCTTCACTGATCTATGGTGGCAACTGTTTACATTTTTTTGATCATTTTGACTGTACACTTCAATAATTGTTAAAGATGGCATTCACAACTGGTAACACCGAGCAACTAGTCACCTGAACTCAAGCCAAAGATTATAATTGTCTGCGTCATCTTTAAGAAAACTGATATGTTGATGTTTATTTCATTTTCCCTTTTGCATGAGTAGTTTTTGATTTCGAGCCTAAGATAATTGACGAATTCAAGGGTAACTAACAAGAAAGTGGTCATGGGACACACAGGTCAGAGGTTGGTAAAAGATAAGATTTTGTAGCGAATTTAATGAACATAATCCTAGATAATATTCGAGGGGATACATGGTTGTATTCATTTACTCTGATGCTATTTGGTAGAGCAAGTATGAAGATACACATAATGATGGGCACCTGATTAGCCAAAGTTGGAGTAGACATTTTAATTTTAATATTAATTTTTTTCTTTTTTGGTAATTTATTTCCTTTTACAATTTGGATGAGTAGTGTAATTGTAAACTGTGAATGGCGTCCATGCTGTACCCTACACCTCAAATTTCACATGCTACATGTGGTGAGTCAGTGAGCAGACGGGAAGCGTTGGGTCATCAGTCATGGCACTCTTGATTGATATTATCTCTTTTCACTATGATCACTTGCTACATGAATTGATATGATATGAACCCTTAAGCGGTTTTAAGTAGTCATACTATCCTTGGATTTTGAGAGTTATCAAGGACAAACGATATGTAATTCTCATTGTTTTGTGTTAGTATATATAGGTTCTTATTATTGTATTCTAGTGTATTTCTTGAGCCGCACTACAACTAAACCTCTGTAAGTTCACCCTTTCAACTCTCCATTTGGGAAGAATCTATGAATGGTTAATATATAAATAGATACAAATGATTGGTGAATAAGTGTATAATACTTGAGAATCCATTGGAATGTATTGTTGAAAATAAAGTTTGATCATTTATAAACTTTGCCAAACGGATCATAATATTTTACTTGAGTTGAACAGTTTAAATTCAAATAGATCATTATATATTTTAATGTATACACAAGGTTTTATTTTATTCTCTCTCTCTCCCCCTCCCCCCCAAGGAGATTTGAGGTTGAAATATGGTAATTCAACAACATGGCTTTATTAAGTCATTGCATGAAAGTTTAAGGTACGAATTAAAATTATGAGATTGCTAAGCTCATGGTCGACTAAGAAACTAAGGTTTACCAATGAATGGAGTGGTCATGAGCTCAGGGGTTGTGGATTGCTTAAAATTTAGATGGTACTAATAACTTAATGAAAATATCACCAAGTGCTCAATTAAGCTCTCTCAAAAGCATTCCTACTTTCCCGGAAAGGGATGAAGATGGCATTTAACAAGGACAGAGGAGGCAATATCAATTTACTTCATGATTTTTGTTAGAGAGTGCAAATAAATCAGGTATTTTGGTCAACTAGTCACCCAAATTGCATAAAAACCATTGCAAAATGATGATTCTGTAGGAGATACAAAGTTACTGCATGGAATTGAACCTTTTTTTTTTTTTTTTTTTTTTACAGGAGAAGGGTAAAGAGATTAGCATTAGCAAATAAGCTAACAATATCCTTTAAGTTTTTCTTACCTTTAGGACATTTGATAGCCCATAATGCTTGTGTTTTTCTGTGGGGAAAGTGGGTTTTAAATTTTATTTCCTTTTCCTTCTTTGGCAATTAGTCACCTATAATAGTGTGATTGAATAGTTCTGTTATTGATGTAACTGACAAATCAAATTTTTAAGTGTACCCAATTTGGGTTTCACTTACATACCGTGTATGGTGTGCTCTGGTAGATCTCGGCTTTAGTTGCCTCACTTGTGACTAATGGCAGTACTTGGCATTGTAAAAACTCTCGCGTTTGAAGTAATAAATAATTTTCATTGTGCTTGTACATGTAGAATTGGGTTTACTCCCTTTGGCATTCCTTTCAATCAATACTTCAGTAAGATTGTCAACTGAATTGAGAGATTATTTTTCCAGCGTTGACATTTTGACTTGACTGGGGAGAAATATAGAAGCTCGACTCAATTCAACTGTCTAATTAGGGAACAATTCATATTTCCTGCACTCCAAATGAATAAACCACAAACCGTTGCTACCGCCAAAAGAAACAAATATGAGAGAAAATATAATGAAATAGCAAATATTTAACATCCCTTGCGACCTGGTTCCTACTGTTACTTCATGCTAATCTAGCAAATATGCACGCCCTATCATTCTTCAACTATTATTGCGTAATCTCGACTAAGTTTTGTTTATGTACATGAATCAACTACGAGTTGCCACAATGGCAAATGACCAGTATCTATTTACATGAATCAACTATGAGTTGCCACAATGGCAAACGTCCCCTATCCTTGTCGGGAAAAAGAACGATGTGAAGAGGTTCAAAGCAAAGAACTCGAATCAATCCCCTAACTACTCATGGAAATACCAGAGGTCCTCGACTTCCATTACCGGCTGTTTACTTTTGTTTCTCATTTCTATGACCTTCTTATGGGAGTTTGAGTGCAGAGACGGGACAAATGTTGGACTTGCTGCAGGACGGTACTCAGGAAATAGACGTCCTGATCGGTACCGTACACCACATGCATTGCATAGAGTCTTTGGTCCCATTGGTCCCTCCCTCCATTGTGGTGTCTCTGTCACTTCACAATGTGTGCACTTTTTATTTATGGATTCCACTGCGACTGGCATCTGCGACGATTTCTTCCTCTTTGCCTCTCTGTTTTTCCGAGAAGTTGGACTCCGCTTAGAGGCAGAAGATATGGAAGGCATAAGAATCCATGAGCTTCTAGTCCTGGATTTACGTTGCTTGGATCTGGTTCGCCTTGGAATGACGATGTTGGATTTGAGAATTAAACCCTTTTCAACTGAGTATGAGCCACTGCTTTCAAGCACAGAACTCGGGCTCTGTGTCTGGAAGGCGCCCGGTTGATTTTGATTGAGATTACTTGTGTTAGAGGTGTCTTCAATATATGTCAATGGTTTTTGCTCTGGAGTTCCATTAATCTCTAAAGGCTGATGAGGAAAACAAAAGAATGCATCAAAACAAATTAACACAATTGGTGACACCACGATTTCCATACTCGACATATTAAATAGTACAAGATATAATTAAATTAGTTAGGCGTGGGTGCAGCAAAGAGAAATATATAGGCATCCAGACTGCCAGCTGAATAATTAAGCACGTGCTCAAGCACAGGAAAACACCCCTCTCAACAACAAAAAAGCTGAATCTTGTCTCCAATAAATTTAGGATCGACTACATAAATAATTTTTCTCCACTCCATTCTCAATGCTTACATCAATTGGAAAATCAAAGGCACTACATTCTCACCAATCACGACGACCAAATAAAATTTTGCCGCATCTTATGATATAAATCAATATACGCAAAAGCCAGCCCTTTTTTTTAATGGGAAAATATAGGTTATCACAACATATTCCTAATATTGTAAATAGGATGTCGACTTTTTGAGAATCTCTTAAAGTATTGGTGCATCAATTGAGACTTTTATAAATTTTCAAAAAGTTTTTAAAAGTCGTGGTGCATTCAATTAAAAAATTTTAAATTCTCTATAAATCTTGGGGTATTCAAATTTTAATGACTTCTATAAAAGTCACTAGGGTACTAACTTTTACATAGAATTTTGGGAGACTTTCACAAATAATAATATGTATTTTCTTTCCTTTTTCTTTCTACGAATATTAGAGTTATGATTAAAATTTATTATATGGGGAGGGGAAAGGAAATTGTAGGAATCACTACCTTGTTTATAAAAATTTCACATTATTACACTAAGATCCACGTGAATTCTACTTTAAATGAAAGCTTTCAAAAGTATTTTAAATTCTACAAAAGTCTATAAAAGTTTTAAAATGAAAGTCTATATTAGAAGTTTATGAAAAACTTCTACTAATTCCATACAAATATACAAAAAAATCCTCGAAATTCATAAAAGTTATCACTTAAAAAAATTCCATCAAAATCTTCAAAAGTCCTAATTGAATACGTCTCCTTTAGATACTTCTTAAAAGTCTATGAAATCTCAATTGAATACACTAACTTTTCGAGAATCTTTAAAAGTCTCAATTAAATACAACATAAACTTTTCGAGAATCTCAATTGAATACACATAAACTTTTCGAGAATCTTTAAAAATCTTAATTAAATAAAACTGAAAATTTTAAATCGTCAAAAGTTTTTTAAAGTCCCAAATGAATACACCTCTTACTATTGTAAACAAAAGAGATTTGAACTTGCATTGCACAAACACTCGTTGATTGCTGCATCTTATGACATAAATCAATACACGCATAAGCCATTTTTTTGAGGAGGAAAATATAGGTTAGCATAACATATTCCTAATGTTGTAAACATACTCCATTGTGATTTTTAACCCATAATTTTTAGAGACTTTTTTAAATTCTATAGAAGTCTTAATAAAATACATCTAAACTTGTAGAGAATATTTAAAAGTCTCAATTGAATACACTTAAAATTTTTAAAGCCTTAAAAGTTTTTGAAAGTCCCAAATGTATACACCTCTTACTATTGTAAACAAAAGAGATTTGAACATGAATTGCACAAACACATGTTAATTGCGGCCATTAACAAATATAAAAGAATTTATGTTTTCATTCAACAGTGAAATTGATGATTTATGAAACTAAAACAAGACAGACAACTCAAAACATCAGCCCATAATATGAAATATGGTATTCAATAAATTAACCAAACTTCTCATATTATTTACAGAAACACAGAGAACCACGTTGCATTAAGAATTGTGCACAAAAACTCACAGAAGCAATAGATTTCGGCAGGGAAGCATGGCCGATTTTTCCTTGAGGACTCGGTGGGAATCCCATTAATGCATCCAAAGGAATAGGCCCAGAGCATGGTGACTTATCAGCATCCCAATCTCCATATAATCCATCTCCTTCCAAACTCTCCATGGGAAAATCCAAAATACTGAGTAATTTTTCAAAATCGATATCATTGGCAATCCCATTTACCATCTTATCCAAACAATTAATGTTTTCAATCATATTCCTGTAATGAAACACAAGATCTATAAGCAACAAAAATAAAGAATTCGGAACAGAAGACTATAATATACCATGGATATTATTACCAAGAATCGTTAGACAATACCGACAGTACATACTTTGGAATTTATAAGGTAAAATTTAAACGATTTTATCTAACACGTAGGATTACCTTAATTATTTCAAAATAATCCATAAGGGATACGGTGATCTTCTGTATATATACCATTTTTGAGTAAGAAACAAAGTCATTATTTTAAAAAAAAAAAGATAATTACTAAGAGTATTATTATTATTATTATTATTATTTTTTTGCATTAGTGTTTCTTATTTATTGACTGATTCTTTTTTCTTTTTAATGAAATTATGAATAGTATTCTGTCATTATTTTCATAAAATAATAATAGCGTGTTAATTGGAATAAAAAGGTGTCTAAATCTATATTTACGCCCCACCAAATCTTTGGTAGAAATAGTAAGATCTGACCAGATCACAAATTATTAAAAATCCTTTTCTTTTATTGCCATTTATAGTCGAATCAAGGTAAAAACATGGCAGTGCTTGGCTGAACGGGTAATGCTAGAAAACCAGAGGAAAAAGAGAAAAAAATTCTTTTTATGTAACCAAATGCATGAAAATGAATGAAGAATGCTTTGGCACTTACGGAAACACAAGCCCTTTTATGCCATTGAACTTGTGCAGAAGGATTTATCTCCAATATAGGGGTTATATTGTCACCACAATTTTTATTTGATACACCACATTTTAAACTTTTCAATCTTTGTTCATTGTAAAAATTATTTCTTTTCTTTAACCTTCTATTAATTTATACGTCTCATTCTTCGTAATGATTTATATCTAAATATTTTGTTTTCATGTTTTCAAATGAGGAAAAAATGTTTTTTAGCACTTATTATTTATTTAAAAAAATATATATGATGGGAAAATATGTTGTTTTACGTCATTTCAATAAACATTCGAATATAAAATTGTTATCAAATACAAAATATGTTAACTAATAAAAAGTTTGAGGATAAGAATACAAGAAAAATCATTAAGGACATAAGTGTAATAATGAGCAAAAATTAAGAAGCTAGGTACAATTAAAATGTGGCACAAGAAATAAAAAAATGTGGTGTAGATATAATTACCCTATATTAAAAGGAAGGATTAAGAAGTAACTTTTAAATATCAATTTTACCCTTTTAAATTTAATTATATGCTCAATATATCCTTATTTAATTTTAATTTTAATAATGATTAGTTAATAACATTAATTCATTAATCAACATAAAATTAAAAAAACCCATTTTCTTTTACATTTGTCAACAGTTCCCTAAATTAATCTTTTAATCTTACATTAATTTTCTCTTGAAATCGAAAATTGGGTGTTATATTTAGTTGTAGCCCCAATATATCCTCGTTTGGTTTATAATTTTGTCTTTAATTTTGTCCTTATATAAGAAAGCATCACGCCTTTCAACAAGCCAACCCTCAATGAAGATGAAATCACTTATTTTGCGTTGACTAACGTTTGATGATAAGTAAATCAACGTAGATGAGATTTAGTGAGACTGAGATATACACTTTTTTTATATATGTAACGATCCGTGCCAATTTTAGGGGAAACAAGTCCACCAAACCTCAGAAGATAGGGTTCATCAGGAACTATGAGATCTAGTTACTTCCTCCTTTTGGGAGAGTAGAAGTACAACATCTTGTGAACACATGCAACCAAAAAGAGATGGGATACAAAAAATTAATCTCCAAAGTGAAAACTCACCATATCGTCTATCAAAAACAATGATCCATTGGTTTCAACAATAGGAATTCATGGGAATGGAGTGTCCTAATTGATTCACAATTAAAAATGATCCATTGCTCGTTGTAGAAGAGGGATGCTTCAACTCTTGGATTAGACAACCCTCGAGATCTTGGTCCATTCTCATCTTCTCGTCCGATAGCAACTTTGAACCCAACTGATTATTCAAGACCAATTAAATAAATAGACTAGTAAATATAGGATCTTTAACAAACTGGTGGGCTGCGGCGGTGGGTAGGACCCGATGCATTAACTGCAGCCCATGTTTAGTTTGGCCTAGAGTCTGGTTGTCATTTTCCAACCAAATCCAGTTCCTCCGACAATTGGGTAGGTGCTGTTCCAATTTTGTCACCACCACCGTCTAGAATACCCGGAAAATGTCTTGCTCCAGATTTTGCTCTTTACAAGTCGATCGCCCATGTTTTGTTTTTGACTTTGGTTTGTTCTTATTTCACTTTCTTCTCTTTTGAGTATTAGAAAGCACTTTCTGATTTAGTTACATTTTTTTTTGCTACTATTTGCTGTTATTTCGTTTACTTAAATTTTTTTTTTTAATGGGTTATTCGATCTCCGCAATAAAAGCGTTAAAAGATTTAGGCCGTGGTTGATTTGCCATTTTCGGCCCATTTTTCGTTTTTCGTTTTCGAAAACGAGAAAAACGCGTTTTGTTCGTCGTTTTCGAAAACGCATTTTCGTAAACGAGTTAAAATTTATAACTGAAAACGCAAAACGACTTTTTATTGTTTACGGTATTTTCAGTTATAAATGTCGAAAACGCTCAAAACGCGGAAAACCGGATGTTTTCGGGGAAAATTAAAAATCGTTTTGAAAATGAAAATGGAAAATGAAAACGCAAACCAACCTCTACCTTAACTTTTCATGAACTCAAATTTCCCTATATAACCTTCAAGTACGGTTACTTTGTAAATGATTTCATTTCAAACACTAGCTCGGTCTTCAACTTCTCCTCCTTGCATTTAAAGTAATGATTTTATAGAGTCTAATTTTAAAAATAACATTTTCATATTAATTTACTATTGAAGCGGCCGGCCATGGCCGGTACCATCTTAAACATTGTACTTACTCGAACATGATTATTGAAGCCTAATTATAATTAATGGGTCCCTTCATACTTTTCTACAGTTTATAAGTAGCAACTATTGAGCAAAAAAATATACCATCGTATGAATGAAATCCTAAAAACAATGCTTTCAAGCTAAACGATGACCTACAACTAATATTTTATTTTAAAGAAATGTATAATATCTTTATGCTTTTCATAATTTCGATTGGTTCATTCCACGTGATTCTTGAGTTCAACCATAAAGCTCGATAATCAAATTTAATCTAATAGTCTGTTTGGGAGTGATTTTGAGAATTGATTTTTTTTTATCGTTAGGAGAAAAGTGGGGTCCACCCGTGAGAGAAGAAGTCAAATATGACGACTGTAATAGTGAAATAACAGTCAAAAAATCAATTTTTTGGGTGAAAAAATGGGGCCCAAATAGGCTCTAATTTTTATCTTCTGGGTATTATTATCGGTATCGGATATTATGTCATTCCAAAAATTATGAATGAATATGTTAATAATAAATTTATATTAGTTGAGAGATATCTAAAATGTTGAGGTTTTTTTTTTCAAATTTATTTATTTTAAGTATTATGACAATAAAGAATTTTTAGCGTCATTCCGGAAGAATTTATAAACAATTAATTTTTAAATAGATAAAAATGAACGGTGACTAATTGAATAGTATTTATGAATCCATTAAAATGTATAATTGAAATAATTTTTTTATGACCTCGTGCAAGTTATTTTTTAAAATTATAAACTATATTTCCCATAAAAGAAACTCTCTTATGCGTAAAGGTTGAATCCCAACCTTAAGGGCCCTTACCATTCCGCCTCTAAAGCTTTCTGAGGGAGGTAAATCTAAAAAATGTGCCACAACATACCAGAAAACAAGAGCTACTTGCAACTCTCTTATGCGTAGTTTGTACTTCTCGTTTGCCGTAACCCATAGGTGTACTATTGAAGCAAGTCTTCTACGACGCCCTTGTTTCACGGGGAAAATCGCAGTAAATCTGGTGACGTGGCAGTCTATTATTGGTCAAATATCAAATAAAGTCAACTCCTCGGATCTTTACAAAAATTAATGTTTTCTACTTTATTTTTGGCAACTTGTTCCACACCATTCTCAACCTTCTCTACTCTGGACATAATCACACAGACACACAAATAATACAAAATAATACATACAAAATAGCAAGAAATGAACGACTAACTGAACTTCTGGGGGTGACAAGAACAAGGAGATTTTTTTTTTTCATTTTTTTTTTTCAAATCCCTTAAATTCAGCATCCTCTCTATCCGAATCAAACCACGTTTTCGCCTGATTATTTTGATTCTCATTTTCATTGGATCCAAAAATTTGAAGAGTGATTTAAACGTTCATATTGCAGTTGTTTGTAAGTTATCTCTATCTCTCTGTAGTTTCTTGAATTCGTTCATGGGATGGGAAATAAACTTGATTAGATTAGATCAATACTTTTTTCTTCCTAGAAAGTTTTCTCCTGTATATCTTGTTATTGTAATAGGCAACTGCTACTGTTTATGTTTAAGATGTAACTGGCTAATTTAAGAAAATAAAAGATTATTATAGTGTCCAATCATGTCTAGTTCGAACATGTTTGACTGCAAAAAATAGAACTCAGATGATGACTGGTCGTGCTTTAATTAAACTTGGAGATCTTGACATTGTGGAAAGGAGTTGGTGATGTAGAATTGGTCACATGTTTGACCTGGACTTTTTGGTGAGGAGAGACTGTAAAATTCATGTTCAAGTTGAAGATAGACTTTTAATTTCTTCACATGATATCTACTGAAACAAACCACAGCTGTTTCTCTTTTTCTTGGTGGCCATGAATTCATCATCAGTCTTTTTCTTTTAAAGTATGGATCGATAGTAACAGATTCTTGTTTTTTTCATGTTTGACAGGTCGAGTCATTATAGTTATAGCCACAAAGAGTTTGTTTGATCGATTGTCATGGCTTATAGCAATTCCAAATCTGTAAGGTTAGTCTATTTTGAAACTTCTTCGTCTCAGTTAAATGTGTAATAGGCAACTGTACTATGGTCAAATGCATAAACGATAAAATTCACAAAATTTCTTGTAGATTCCAAGACGACGTTGAGTTAGCAAAT